TATATAAATATAAAATGTTGCCTGCTTAAAACTAAACTGCTTGTTTTAATGGTAGTCCTTTATTGTAATCTGTAAAATTTGCGTCATCTGTTATGCTAGTCAATTGTTAGTCCCAGTTTAAATAGATATTTAATGTAGAGGTTCTTTAACCCCTTTATGCCCAGAGGTCATAAAAAAAACTAGTAGTCCATGCAAGGTTTAACAGCATCGGTATGCATCAGATAACTTGATCATAAGGGGACCATGGGGCATATTTTTAAAGCAGAGAATATGACATTCAGGAAATATTGTTTGTGCCTTGTTTACTCACCTAAAAAAAGTTTAATTTTGAAGGACATATAAGGATCTCTTTTGATAATTTTTTTTAATTTCTATTTTCTTATCAGACATATTGTATTAGCCAATAGAGATGAACATGTCCATCTACGGACTGAATGCATTTTTTTCCTGAATGAAGCTTTCAGGCTGATCGTTACATCATAGCTGACATAGTCATAACATGATCGAGACCCACCGCAGTTGTTTTCTTAGGGACTGAATCTGTCAGGGACAGCCAGGTTAAATATCTAGTAACCATGTAAAGTGTCGGCTGTTAGCTGTCAGAGGGCGGTATTCTAAGCACGGGGTTATATACAGATAAGTTGTTAATCGAAGCAACCATAAATGTGGTTAAAAGGAGTCTTGAATTAAGTGTAAAATAGAGACGCGAGAATCACACCACACATAAGTGCATGTACAACTTGCGATACAGACAAGCACACATTCAACTGGGCAAATCCCTAATGCTGATGGTCACATTAATGATTGACAAGTTTCATGAGCATTATAATTGAGTCTAATCCTATGCATGCCAGCTCTAGAATGGGAAGCATATTTCATATATGGAAGTGATTTTTGATTTCCTGATTGAACGGGTTTTGTTTTATGTTTTGGTTTTTAGTTAATCTCTGTTCAAATCCAGAAGACAAACTTCAGATCTATCGGGATAATTTTGAAAAAGCCTATTTAGATTCTACGGAGAGGTTTTACCGAACCCAGGCCCCTTCCTACTTACAACAAAACGGTGTACAGAATTACATGAAATACGTAAGATGATATTGGAAATGTGTGACATCTGTGTGTCTTCCAGAGTAGGGACTCTTTATAATGGATATTTCACTCTGAACAGGCAGATGCTAAACTAAAAGAAGAAGAGAAGAGAGCCCAACGATACTTGGAGACCAGGAGAGAATGTAACTCTGTGCAGGCGGTGAGTGTGCTGCAGGGATTTGCTGTATACATTACACCTGTCATGAGAGAATCTTGGAGGCTGCATTGCTAACCTTTCCTTCTGAAATTGCCTGACTTTCATGTTGCATAGGCTCCAATACTTTGAGCCATTGACCTGAAACAGCTATAAAGAATTTTGACAATTTCCTGACATTTATAGCATCGCGTTGCCAATTGACAATGTTGGGTATCAAAGTTTGTTTCCGTTTCAGGAGTGCACATATTTTTAATGCTTGACATGTTTGGTATTTATTTACTCACTGCAACCTCATCCTTTTATATTGTACACAAACATGGGTATTATATTGTGTTTGTGAGCACTAAAATTAATTTGAATGCATTTTTAGCTAAACATTTTAGTTTGATAAACAGTTGCTCAAATATTATGTTACATAAAAAATTGCAACTGCCACCATTTTATTCTTCAGGGCCTCTGCTTTCAGAAAACATACCATTCTGGGGGGTTTAACTAATTTTCAAGCCTAAAATGTGTGTTTTAACATGAGTGCAAAAATGGCTCTGGCAGCAAAAGGCTAACGTGTACCTGTTCACATAGATTTTGATAAAAAACCTGTTTTCACGCTGTATATTCCTTTGTTCCAAATTACAGCTCATGGAGTGCTGCGTTAATGCCTTGGTGACATCCTTCAAAGAAACAATTTTAGCTGAGTGCCAAGGAATGATCAAACGCAATGAGACTGAAAGTAAGTAGTTACTTTTAAACTTATAGTATCGAATTTAAAGGTTACATGCACCTTTAAAATAGACTTGCCTATTTAAAGCAACTCTGTTGCTAATAAATCAAAAGAATAGTAATAATACCTGTCCCCCCAGCCTATGCCTTTGATTTTCATTCTGTTGCAGAGCAACATCAGATAAAGAATCATCAGCGTCTTGTTTATTCTGGTTGACCATTTGGTTCCACCTAGGTGATAGGTGTAAGAACAGGACACAAAGGAAATGACCCCAGACACAAACAGTAGTTAGAACCTGATTGAGCTTCTAATTCTTCGCCAAACAAAAAAATAAGTTGGCCTTTAATATCCAGGCACATGAAGCAAAATTTGAAAATATAACTTTACCTTTTTTTCTGTTCTTCTAGAACCATCATCAAGGACCAGTGAATTTCCATTTGTTCACCTTTAGGCTCTGTGTGTTAGACATTATTTGAAATCTTAGGGTCTCTTTAAATGTGCATGATTCTAAAAGCTTGCTTACCGAAGACTGGCAAATCTTTGGGGATGCCTTCTTACTGGAGCTGGTCTCCTCTGCTTTTGCTTCTTTTCACATGCTTTCTGATAGCAGGCGGAAGGTGTGTGCTTTATAGAAACAGTATGACTGCTAACAGTGAAGGTATTCATTTAACCAAATAAGAGGAAGAACATGACATTTCATTTTTATTTTATCACCAAGGTGCATTTGTCCTTTAAGGACAGTCTCACCATTGCCAAAAATAAAATTTTTGCTAGTAGAAACTCTTCATGTGTCTTGGTGTAGTTCTCAAATCTTCTTTTTTTTTTTTTTTAGCTTTGTTTGAGTTGTTTGCTTTGTTCACAGTTTACTAATTTGTATTGAGGTTGTAGTCCATCACGGGAGTGAGCTTGGAGTGGAGGCTACTTTACAACACACACAGGGACCATGGGCAAGAAAAGTAGCCACCCTCCAGAAGTAAGGACAGTGTCAGAACACATTCAGAGATGATTTGAGGATCTACAGCTGAGTGATGCACAAATAAGATACATTTTTGGTAATAGTTGAGGTACTTAAATGCATTTTTAAGCTTTATCTTTTGAGTTTAGTGTCACTTTAAAGAAGGCAGAAAAAAAATCTTAACCCTTGCAGTGGGGCTACCCCCACTGAAACATAGAGAAATTCATTTAATTAAACAAATACACAAGGAAGTGGATTTGTTGACCATACCTGAGATTCAGCTGTTTTTCCTCCACTGCGATAGAACATTAAGAAATATCCTGTATCTCGTTGGAGGTCATGGGCAACAAAAATCCTTGGCCCCAGTTTTTACTAATGGGCTCTTTTTCTGTGTCCTGGTCTACAGGTGCACAACATTTAACTACACTTGTCAGTTTTTGTTTTGTATCACACACACTTGTATCACACACTTATATATATTAGGGATGTCCCGATACCGATGCTAGCATCGGAATCGGGCCCGATACAGGGCATTTTGACAAGTACTTGTACTTGTCAAAATGCCCTGATACATAGCGCCAAAGCTTGCGCTATGATTTTTTGTTTTTACTTACTGGGAGAGCAGCGGCGAGTCGGCCCTGGTCCGTTGGGAGGAGCTCTCTGTTGCCGCTGGTCCTGTTCTGTCGACACTGAAAACTCATCGACCGCGCGTACCTCTGACCTCGCATCCGGGTACTGCCAGTAGGTCAGCTTCACATAAGGACCTTCCGCGCATGCGTTGCCACTCACCGAGCCTTACACCCCCACACTGCGCCTGCGTCTCTTTCTCACGCCCGTTAGCTTCCCCAACTACACACAGCTCCTGTCCAGTTCAACTACCATGCACTGCGCTTGCGTGCCCTTCTTTTAAAGAGTTTGATTTATTTAATATATAAGTTTATGTATTAATTTATCTTAATAGTTTAAATGCGCAGTGCAAGCGCAGTGTATAGTTCGCAAACTCAACGAGAAGGGCACGCAAGCGTAGTGCATGGTAGTTGAATGGCGCCGACTCGCGCTGCTCTCCCGCACAGCGCAGCAATAGATTTACTATTATCCCCTGTTAATATGAATGGATTAAATGATCCCTAGTACATAATAGTACATGACATGTAATTGTACTACGGATCATTTAACCCTTTCATGTTAGTCGAGGAAAATTGTAAATCTATTGCTGCAGTGTGTTTAATGTTTTCCCTCATGGATAAAGTTCCAAGTGGAATTGAGCCAATGTTGAAGGACCTGGAGGATCACATTGTGAGTGCTGGATTAGCAGACATGGTGGCAGCTGCAGAAACCATTACTACTGTAGGTATTTTTTTCTTTCTTCATATGTTTCATGTAGTCTGTCAAGACTAATGTCATAGAGTTGTATAGATAAACATTGGGCACTGATACCTAAATTAGATGAATGGTTAATTTGCTCTCTTACATTCACAAACACCGACTCCTTGCCTGCTTGTTGGCATTTGATAGTGTGAGTTGTGGTTTCATTCACCTCTCCTGGATCGGTCATTGCCCTAATCTCCTTAGTAAGAAAATGTCACTATACTCAACCCCCTCAGCTAGTGTTCTAGTTAATGGCACTTTTGCTGAACCCTTTTTCCTCAATAATGGTACATGCCTGGTTCATCCCATTGCTCCTTTTCTCTTTGTGACAATTATAGAACACCTAACTCAAACCATACATCAAAACGCATCTGTCAATGGAGTTAGGTGGGCCCCGACCAACATAAATTGTCTCTTCATGCCAACCATCTCCTTTTGTCTATTCAACAACCACTCATCATTGTTCCCTCCATTTTCTCAACCTCTTTAGTGGTGCATTTTTGCTCGAAGTGGCCTCTAGAAAAATAATTTGTTCACCCAGAGAAGGGCTTGTCTGTTTATGCGTCATCAGGCCCCCCCACCCCACCCACCTTGTTGGCTGACTGATCTGCATCTGAAGTCTTTTAGTAATCACCTGTTCTCTTCTGGACTCTCATCAGTCTCTTACTAATTAGGAGCAACTGTTCTCTTCTCAGGGACTCCCACCCCACATATTAATCATAGTTTACAAGCTGCTCACATGTAGGTGGAATAATCAACTGCGCCGGTTTGTTAAGTCATGGCTCCAAGAGCTGGGTTATTCCCTCTCAGAAGACGACTAGGATTCCACTTTTTTCTTTATTGGTAAATCCTTGGTTTCTAGGTGGTACAGGAATCCGGTAACCCTAAGTCGCATATTTCCATAACTCCATATTTGGTGGGAGTGCCCATTAATACAGCCTCTCTGATCACAAATCTATGAGATCTATAACGACCTTTATCATGCTATCATGCCTCTCTTCTGAGGCTGCCCTGTTGTCCAGTCTTCCTGGAAGTAGATCACACCAACAGAAACACACGCTCAAATTTCTTCTTTCTGTGGCAAGACAACTTATCCCCCTCTATTGGAAGACCGCGGAGACCCCGCCTCTCTCACACTGGATCAGTATTCTTAATCACATCATGCGTATAAAAGGAGAGCTTGTGGCCATGGATATGGGATCTTATTATTATTTCTATTCTATTTGGGTGTTGTGGATGCAGTTTTCTTCCTCTGCCTCCCTTTTTCAGCATCTGAATGTTCTGGGACTCACCTTTGATGTTCCCTTGTGATTCTCTTCTCCTGTGTCCATTCATTTATTCTCAGATTTACCGCCATCTCTATCTCCTTTTCCTACCCTTTTCTCAGTCTTTCCTTTCCCCTCAATCCCTTCTTTCTCTCTTTCAAGCAGCATTTTCCTTGTTTGTGTATTTTCTGTTATCAGACCTTACACTTGATAATTGTACATTTTACTTGAGTGGTTCTTTTAGTTACCTGCTAATAGCATAGGAGTCTCGTTGTAATGTTTTTGTTTCATTTGAAATCAGTAAATATATTTCTATGTTTTATGACACGCTGTATAATTTTTATATCATACATTCTTTTATGCCTCCCAAAACCTTTTGTTACATAGGTATGCTTATGCTATATGCCACTGTATTTTAATGAACCTTGATTCAACCAATGAATCATGTTTGCTGCAAGTACCTTTTACTCCTCCTATTAATTTATGATCCCACTATACAGTAATACCTTGGTTTACGAGCATAATTCGTTCCGGAAGCATGCCTGTAATCCAAAGCGCTTGTATATCAAAGCGAATTTCCCCATAGGAAATAATGGAAATTCAGATGATTTGTTCCACATCCTAAAAATATTCATATAAAATGATTACAATACTGTACTGTAATATAATACTGTACAAAATATAAAGAAAAATAAACCAATTACAGGTACCTTTGTGGCCGGTGTGAGAGGGACAAGAGAGAGGAGGATTATTGCGTAGGACGACTTTCACTATCACTAACGGAATCACTGCTATCTCTTGACTCAATGGAATTTTTTTCATTTCGTGAAACCTTAACAAGGAATCTGTCCAATCTGTCCACATAAGGGGGTTTTATTAGCCCCCGTATGTGATAGCGATAAAGTTTAGTGAAATTTTACTGATTTATTTTTCATATGGATGCTCATTGGATAATGATTTGGTAAAATGTTTTCTTTGAATCTGACGTGCTCCTTTTAGTAATCTCTATTAAGCAAACTTTTTCTCATTCTGTAATTTTTGGTGATTTTTCTCCTCAAAGCGTAGACAGACTGATATAGCCTTAACACAGACTAATTCTGTTTTTTCTTTATCTTTTGTTGAATAGGATTCTGAGAAGTATGTAGAACAATTACTGACATTGTTTAATAGATTTAGCAAATTAGTAAAAGAAGCTTTTCAAGACGATCCAAGGTTTCTTACTGCTCGAGACAAGGTAGGTTTACATTTTAGTTTGATATACCTGATTTATCTATTCTTTTTCTTTTCTATTTCTTTTTATTTATAGAATGTTTAGTTAAAACGCTTTAAAAAGTGATTAAAGTGTTTAAAGGCTGAGTTCACCTTTGAAAAAAAATTGCCTATGCAGTCAGGGGGCCTCTGTGACTAAAACAAAAACAACCGCAGCTTTTAAAAATGTTATTTAATGTAATCACAAAACCTGTAGGCCATTTGCACCCCCCTGTAACCAGACAGAAAAACTCCCATAGTTACCATTGTCCTATCCTGTCCTGTTGATGGGACACTCCACAGCTGTTGGACACTCGTCCCCAGCATGACAGGAGTGAATGCTTTCCATGTTCAAAACCCACATGTGCGCAGTGCACTTGCTCTTTCCTTGTAGCAGCATCATGGAGCTTAGCTGCTGCTACAAGTGGAGAGAGGGGCCACTGCGTGTATATGAGGTTTTGAATTAATAGAGCACTCGCTTCTGTGATGCTGGGAGTGAGTACCCAATGGCTGTGGAGTGTCCTAGCAACAGAAGGTGGGTGGGGCATAAATGGCCTATGTATGGCAAATGTTTGGAAAGCTGCATTTTCTTTTTATAACTACTGAAGCCCCTGGACTGCAGATGCAATTTTGTTATAAGGTGAAGGTGGCTTTTAAAAGGGGGCTACCCCCGCACTGCAAGTGTTTTCATCCAGAGTCTAAAATAACAAAGCTATACTCACCCTAACCTTGGTCCCACCTGGCTGCTAGAACCGGGAGTGTTCATTTCCTTGGTTCCCTGCACCGCTTCATAATTCCGCCCATCCAATATTATGCACATTATTCTGGCACATTTAAGACAAACTAATGGGGGAAAAAAAACATTTTCAAACATACTAATGACTATACGTTCCTATAAAAAAAAAAAAGCTCAATACTTATTAATTTTTTTTTGTACTTCACAAAGCATGGTGTGACATATGATATGGCAACCAGACCAGTGTATAACAGCATTTGTTTAATTTCTTTGATCTTATGGGTGGCAGGGATGGGTTTGATGACCTTTAAGTTAAAGTGACACTAAACTCAGGAGTTAAATCATAAAAATGCATTCAAGTACCTTAATTATTAACAAAAATGTAACTGTGTATCACTCATCTTTAGATCGATCATTTCTGAATTGATGCTGACACACTCCTTCCTTCTGGAGGGGGGCTACTTTTGTTCCCCATGGTCCCTATGAGTATTGTAAAGAAGCCACCTCTCTAAGTTCGCTCCCCTAATAGACTAAAATCTCAATACAAATTAGTAAACTAAATGTGAGATTGTAGTCCATCATGGGAGCTTGGAGCACTTATAGAGACCATAGGGAAGAAAAGTAGCCACTTTCCAGAAGGAAGGACATTGTCGGCCAATTCAGAGATGATTTGTGAATCTACATTGACTGATACACAAATGAGCTACATTTTTGTTGATTGTTAAGGTACTTTAATGCATTTTAAGATGCAACTCCTGAGCTTAGTGTCATTTTAAGGATTTTTTCCATTTATATTAGTCAGTATTGGCATTATACAAACAAATTGTTTTTCCAAGCCATTATTGAATTTATATCTTTGCATTTGTGAATTTTGTAACCTTTAGAAAGGCAACTATCATTTTAATTTTGCCTTTAGGCATACAAGGCTGTGGTGAATGATGCAACAATATTTAAACTGGAGTTACCACTAAAGCAAAAAGGGTAAAGTATTTTCTCTCATTGTTGATGGGGGACCCAGGAATTAGCACTCTATTTATTTGCCCTGCTTATTTAAGGTTGCTCATTTCCTTAATCTACGCACCTACCCTTTCAATCATTGATAAATACGTTTTTTATTTCGGTTTGTTGTATATAGAGTACTGTGCAAAATTTTAGGCACTTGTGGGGAAAAATTACTTTTATTTATCAATTAGCATCCTACAAAGTACATAAAAAGAAAAACCTAAATCAAATCTATTATGTAATACTATCAGGGAGGCATCTGAGCAATCCCAAATTCATTCTGCAGCAGGGCAACGACCTTAAACAAGTCATAACGAACTATCTTCAGTGAAAAGTACAAGGGGTTCTGGAAGAGAAAATATGGTCCCCACAAAGTCCTGATCTCAACATCATTGACTCTTTCTGGGATTACAGGAAGAGACAGCCAACTGAGACTTCCTAAATCAATAGGACTGTAGATTGTTCTCCTAAATGTTTAGAACAACCTGCTTGCTGAGTTCCCTAGAAAACTTTATTGCAAGGAAAGTTATTGCTGTTTTTAAGGCAAAGGGCGAACACACCAAATAATGATTTAGGTTTTTGTTTTTTTTTGTAAGCATCCCCATTTTTTTTTAGTGCCTTTGTACTGTACTATATATATGAAGTTTGTTTTTAAATAATTATTTCATGCATGACAAAGGATTCCATTAGCACCATTGATTGGCCTAAGAGCCATCACAGTCAATGTCTCCTTCCAGACAGATTGCCTGTCACTCAAACCTCAGACTGAGCCCTCTCATTAAGGGTGAGTCATTGTGATGTGTTTTGAGTTTAAATTTCATGTTGAGCTTCTGAGTTCTGTAAACAACACTTTTTTGAACAGTAAGCTAAATAGGAATAACTGTATGAAAAGGAGCCTAAAGCTCTACTTGGCTGGTCCACCTGACCATAAGAAAAGACATATGTACAAAACTACTACACATTTCTTGTAAGGGTCAAGCTACTGTAATGCTGAACTCAACTGGTCAACTTATAACATTAACATTTGGGTGGCCCCCTCCTGCATAGTAAAGGGCCTAATGCTTGTTTAGCCTAGGGGACATGTAATAGAGAGTATGACTTAATTTTTTTAATTTAATTTTTTTAATTTTCTGTAAGGTCTTGTATGCAAACACCCAGGTCTGAGTATATGGTGATGATGCTTTTTACCTTTAACAGCCACCTTTCCCTTAAGGCTAGAGCGCCTACCGGTACTTGGATGCCACCAGGACTTGTACTGTATACTCTGGCCATGGATGTCACTACAGGCCTGTAAATGCAGCATAGGGCAGTGGAAGGTGAGATCAGAATTAGCAGAAGAGGAATCCAGGAAATGTTGCAAATGGTAAGGGCTGGCAGCAGACGATAGAGTATCCAGAAAACATAGCCGAGGGGCAGGTAGCAGACAAGCGAGAATCGAAAAACATAGCCGAAGGTCAAACCAGGATCAAAATACAGGAGCACACTTGATCAGCCAGGAATCTCTATCACAAGCACTGAGTCACTGGCTGATAAAGATTAAATAGAGTGCCTCCATAGACCCAGGCCAATCCCAGCTGAAGGCATGGGGCAGATGCATTACTCCGCAGCTGAGCGGCAAGACTCCAGCTAGCAACCCCGGCTGCTAAACAATGTGGCCAGATTCTTTACCTCACAGCTGAAGGCCAGAGCTGCAGCCAATGACAAGACTAATACCATTACATAGACTGCCTGACAATTCCTGAGTCCCACAAACTTCCTAACTAACAGTTCCAGTATAAACCAGTCCCTCGCCAACATTATCAACTGCCTTGAGGACATTAAAGGCCTACCTATATTTTAGAGGCAAGGGAGAAATGCGGTAAGTATTACTTTCTATTATATACCCCAAAACTAAAGGAGAATTAGAGCCCATAGTGCTCTATAGACTAAAAGAGCATTAGGGCCTGTTCACACCAGGATTATCTAATTATTAATATGCATTGCCTTAAGACAGACCATTCAAATTAACTCACCACAAATGGTTAAAAAATTATACCAGCTGCATTTTTCATAGCGCAAAACAACTAGTGCAATAAGGTTGCAACACAAGTGCATTGTGGAAATACATTGGGGTGAAATTTAAAATGAATGGCACCACTGGACACCAAAGCATGCACAATAAAATGGTGTGAATGGGTCCTTACTATACGAGGAGGGGTGTATCCCAAGTGTGATTTTCTTTTTTTATAGCTACATGATTTATTCTACCTCATGATAATTTCCTCATGAAAATGTTCGATATACAAACCTAAATATTACCTTGGTGTGGAATCCCAGCAAACATAAGAATCTCTAGGGGGGAGTTTCAAACCAGTTTTTCAGCAAACATGTAACAGTGATATTATAGTACAGACTTTCCTAAAATGGTGTTTTAAGTAACTTAAAAGCTAGAATGGGACTGCTGTCCAGCAGGAGTTGCTTTCTTTCATGGAACATTTTATTGTTTTAGGGTGGGATTGAAAACGCAGCCCGAGTCAAAGTGCCCGGAATTACTTGCTAATTACTGTGATATGTTGTTAAGAAAAACACCTCTCAGTAAAAAACTCACTTCAGAAGAAATTGAAGCAAAACTGAAGGAAGTGGTATGTGGTTTTTTTATTCATTCATATGACAACAACTTTCATAGCGGTTTACAGAGCTTGTAGATTATGCACATTAGTCCTAGCTCCCCAAATGATCTTTTCCATAGTAGGAATCATACCCAGAATCACAGCAGTGCAGACCAGAGTTTATTCATTGTCACTACACTGGAAATTACTTTTGTTAAACTAAACTCCGGCCTACAGTGTACCAGTAAGATCTGCCATAGTGTATAAGCCAACAATACTGGTAAATGCATGCAGGCAAGTTGTGGTGACTCCTTGCATCTGCCTTTGTATTCAAATCAATTACTGTGTTCCTGGGCAGGACCCTGAATTACAGGGCCAGGTGATATAAAGAGCCTCTACTTCTCTCCAATTCATCACTGAGCCCTGACCCCAGCCTCAGGAGTACAATACCAGAGCCCTCTACTGCCCACTGAGATTCTGACAGTGAGCTGTAAATGGTGGGGCGGGCTTGCAAAGTGAAGAGCTTATAGTATATCTGAAGCCAAATGTTTATATATGTTTTTATATATATATGTGTGTGTGTGTGTGTATATAGTTTTGAATAGACTGGTGAGGAGTTAGAGCACCTGTCAGGTTTTTATTGCTGTCATTGCCTACTAAGGATATTCCACTCTCTATTTTCCCAGCACTGTTGCCCTGGCATTTGACATAAGGGGCAGGGCTTAATCTGGACTTGACTATAATCCAAGGGGCTCCATTGTGCGACATAGGGAGCATTTGAAGACTAACAGCTCTGTAACTACAAATGTTTTCAGCTAGGTCATTATTCTAAATTAAGTGTAATGTTATTGATTGGACCCATATCTGTAGTTAAACAACTTTATGCTTCTCTGATACATTTGCCAGCAATATACAGAGCAGAGATTATGTGCATTTGTGGTGGGTTTTTTTTTAAAGGAAACTCAAAATAATAGATTCCTCTAACATGCTGTGGAAAGCTACAAATTAGACCGGTAGTGTGAGTAAAATATTAGTCTGGCCATAAACTGTAAGAATTTTGGCCAAATCAAAGGAATCGGACAAAATTCTTACAGTGGGTGGCCCTACCGACTCGACAAAAGTTGATTAAGGGCCAAACAGTTCATCAGCTGCAGTCGCTGTTTACGTATTTTAATAGAGGCGGGCACCAGCTATCAAAATACTATAGCAGGAGATTCATCCTTCCACACTGGGGATAGAGAAATTTATCTGATTTTATTTTTTAATTCAGCCCAGAGGCTGAACGAAAAACAATTCTGTTTATGTCTGTAAGAAGGCAGTAGATGTAACCTTTTGGGTCTGCTTTAGGCCTTGTTCACACCAAGCGCGGAGCAGAGCAGTTGCAGACCGCATCAAAACTGCGTCCAATGGTATTTTTTGCTCCAGTTCACATCGCAGCGTGCAGGTCCAGAGCAGGTGAAAAAACTGCAGCAAGCCCTATTTTATCTGCTCGGGAACGCATGCAAACGCATCAAAAACGCATGCAAATGCCTGGAATGCACAGAAATCCCATGTTAAACTAAAAAAAAATATATATATATATTTTTTACCAAAAGCGGCCCGGAACGCATCAAAAACGCGGCACAACCCACTGCACTGCGTGTGCAGAAACCTGAGCGGATCTGCTCTGCATTTGGTGTGAACAAGGCCTAAGTTAATTTCTTCAGATTCTTGTTCTTCTTGCTCTCCTTGTTTTTTGTTTTTTTTTCAGCTCAGAACAATTATGCATTTTTTAGAAGTTGTCAGTTCCTACATTTGGAAGCAGTGTTTAATAAATACAAGAGAAGATAGATAGTTATACAGACAGACAAGGAAAAAGTGACAGTATTACATGAGAATAAGGCCTGGTTCACACCTAAGCGATTGCATTTTTGGGGGTTTTTGGCGCGATCACCATGTGGAAAACGCACGGTTCCCTCTGCATAGAGATGTCTATAGGGCCAAAACCGCGTGACAACCGCCCGAAAAAGCTTTTGCACCTTTTTGCAAAGGTGTGAACAGTCTCCATTGACTTGGATGCAAATCTGGATTTTGTGCGATTTTCGCACAGCTAAATCCGCGCAATAAATCGCCTGGGTGTGAACCTGGCCTAAGCATCTTCAAAGTCATTTGCCTTTACAAACTTTCAGGGGAAAGTTTTCTAAGGAAATTGAAATTTAGTTCATTCAGTGATGTATGTATTCTTCTTCTTGTCATGTGTCAATCATGTTCTGTTATTCACAGCTGCTGGTGCTCAAATATGTTCAGAATAAAGATGTGTTCATGAGATATCACAAAGCTCACCTCACCAGGCGTCTCATTCTGGACATCTCCGCAGACAGTGAGATTGAAGAGAACATGGTGGAATGGCTCAGGGTAAGAAAGATATCCATAGACACGCTTATAGGTTCTTTCAGTCTTGTGGAAACGTTTTTAAAGTAGAACTCTGTGTAAATCAAATCCTTACCCTTGCAGTGGGTCTACCCCAACAGTGCAAGGCTTAAAAGAGAACTGTAGGGTAAGTGTTTTTCCCTATAGTTCTCTTAAGGGTCACGGGAGGACATATGTTAACCTCCTCCCGTGACACAAAGCTCAGTATATCGTGAGCTGCAGCTCCCGGTATACTGAAACCACCGCAGACAATGCTTGGTGGTCTGTACAGATGAAAAATAGTCCTTTATACAGCTTGCTGCCACCTATAGCGATACCAATCACATGCTTTAAAAGGGATCATCATTTTTGTGTGCCCAGGGCAGCATGATGTCTCAATACTGCAATGCCCCTATTGTCTGTATAGCCAGCATACTACAAATCGGAATACCAAAGCCTAACCTTTTTATAATGAGCTGCTGTTTCTGCAATACAAGTCAGTGTTTATTGACTGCTGAAAATACTAAACATGTATGTTTCACAATTATTGTCACCATTTTTATCAGTGATGACCCCATAAATGTGGCACATGCAGGATAGAAAAGTGCTTGTAAACTCTATGGGGGGGATTTATCAAAACTGGAGCAGATTTGCACTGCAGCCAATCAGCATCTCTCTCTTTTTCAAATCTCACCTGAGCAAACTGTAGAGAGATGCTGATTGGTTGCCATGGGAAACTGCTCCAGATTCTCTCTGCTCCAGTTTTGATAAATCCCCCCTATGTAGTTTAAGCGGAGCTCCATGGAGAAAAGGGTGTTCTGTGAATTAATGAGGGGAGAGTCTGTCGCTTACCCACCCCTCCTTTTCACTCATCCATCCACAGAATGCCTTTCATTCTGTGAAAATAATACAAGACTTTTTGTAAATAGAGGAGGGGCCAGCTACACAACAGGATCCCTGCACTGTACTGTAGCCGGAATACTCAGTCGCAGCGCCTGAAAAAGAGAGCTGTAGTATTTGTACAGTAAGCAGCAGAGATCCCAGCATTAGATACTCATCATTCGAGATAATGTATATGACTTGTGATGTGTTTTTCTTTTGTACTTTAAAGGAAGTCGGAATGCCTGCTGATTATGTAAATAAACTGGCTCGGATGTTTCAAGACATTAAAGTATCTGAAGATTTAAATCAAGCTTTCAAAGAAATGCATAAAAATAATAAATTAGCACTTCCAGGTATGACACAAAATAATTTGAAGAGATTGTACTACCGTGTTTCCCCGAAAGTAAGACCTACCCCGAAAATAAGACCTTGCGCTATCTTCGGGGATTTCTGTAATATAAGACCTACCCCGAAAATAAGACCTAGTTCGGGGTAGGTCTTATATTACAGAAATCCCTGAAGATAGCGCTAGGTCTTACCTTCGGGGTAGCTGCACATGTAATTAAATTTTACATGTAAAGACCGGCCGCAGCTCCCTCCCGCCCCCCTGCCAGACACGCCCCGCACACCCGCCCACCTGTTTGTGGCTCCCTGGACGGCAGAGCGGACAGCTGCAGCCAGGTAAGACATCCCCCAAAAATAAGACCTAGTGTCTTTTTTTGTGAAAAAAATAAAATAAGACAGTGTCTTATTTTCGGGGAAACACGGTAGTCGCAAAATGTTGTGAAGTAGTGTGGTTTTGGAGCCTCATGGCTACACTCGGTTTTCCTAGTAATGTAGTAGTATCTTGGGAGCAGCCTTATTAAAATCTGTGCTGGTTCTGTTTGCCTCTGAGCAGTTTTCCTATAGCAGAGCTAGGTAATTAAAGGGATAGTTGGAGGTGACATGGCATCTTTGTATGTCTAAATGGGCAATAAATGCAGCATTTTTTGTTCAAACACAGAGATGTTCAAATACACGTGTTTGCATGCCAGGCCTGCGTTTGACCTGCATTACCTACAATCCAAATGCACCTTTAGTAGAACCTACTGTGACCAAAGAAACGCATAGCATGTGTGTTTCAAACGCAGGAATATGAAGTGGGTAAAAGTAGCTCTTGCAGTTTTATCCTGATTTGATAGAAGGTGGGGTTTATTTAGTACTGGTGTAAGGTTGAATATATATGGGGGTGGGGCTTTGGCGTCTTTTAGGGCTGCAACAACTAATCGACATAATCGATTATAATCGATTATTGAAATTGGTACCTATTTGTGATAAAATGCAGCCATCAGAGTTTGCCTTCAGCTATGTTTTTTGATATGTACAAAACCTGTTGGGATAGCCAGATACATTTCTGCTTCATGATGTTTCCTTACTAGTTTTTATTGGTTGTTTGTTTTCTTATGGCAGCTGATTCTGTGAACATTAAGATTTTAAACGCGGGTGCATGGTCGAGGAGTTCGGAAAAGGTCTTTGTGTCTCTTCCCACTGAACTGGAAGACCTCATCCCTGAAGTAGAAGAATTCTACAAGAAGAACCACAGTGGAAGGAAATTGCACTGGCATCATTTAATGTCTAATGGCATTGTGAGTAATGTTCGCTTAGGACTGGCTCATAAGAGTCGGCAAGGTGCAGCTTACTAAATATCCTGGTAGCTGTGTGTACATTTCATTATGAAGGCCATTGATACTAAAGTTGAACACCAGGTGCCACTACTCACACTTTACCTGATCGGTAGAGTATTAATGAGCATTGACTCCACTTTTCGTGGTGCAATCAGTTGTATTGTGTTGTTGTATTTACATTATACAGTGTAATACCAATACTCTGCAGTGTTTTATAGAGTACATTGAAATGTTTATATCAGTCCTTGTATCAAATGAGAGTACAATACATTGTTCAGGTCCTACACAGTTCTTCTTTTCTTAGTCTACATGAATAGATTCCTAATGTGACGATATGCAGAAACAGTATCTTTTTTTTATTTTTTATATCCACCGTCTATTATTAAAAAGTGGCCCTTGTGCTCCAGGAGACTTTGGCTACACACATATGATGTCATCGGTCTGCTGCAGGCAGGTGGAAGAATTTCCTCAGTCTCCTCTCCCCAAGTCATCAGACTGTAACATTGTAACCCATTAGCATGTCACAGGGCGTGAGGCTGGAGCAGGAGGCTAATCCGTGTCACATATTTAGGGTCACAGCCAAGAACTGGTCAGGTTTCAGGATTGACATGACTGTGTCATTTCTGAGCTTATTCAGGGGGGTAGGTGCTGACCCTGGGTAATGCCTGAATAAAGATGGCTTCATCCTTATGGAGAAAAAAGCAGATGGAGGCATTGTCAGGGGGAGCACAGTAATCTCTTTGAGGCTGAATTGAAGTGTAACACTTACACAATATATGGTTAGTAAAATAACAGTTAAGCATAGCTGCCTCTATAATGATATCTATTGGGACAAACAAATGTACAGTATGTAATATATCTGAAATGTTTCTTTGAAGGGAACCTGTCACAACAGATGTTCTTTTTACAGGAAATATACACCCGCAGTTCTACTCTAGTTGTCCCAGTTAAAAATAGTATGTTTCTTTGATTTCCTTCATCATTTTCTACACATGGACAGCTTTGGCCTTTTATGTTTGTTTTGTCCATGTTTTAGTATACATTTTGTAACAAGACATTTGGGATCTGCTATTACAGACCTGTTATAGAATAAGTACATGGCCAGTGAGACCATTAATAATAGAAATCAATGAATCGCAGCTCCTTTATTTCATAAATGATAATCTCCCTTTAACCACCGTCCTTGCATGTTACAGATCACCTTTAAGAATGAAGTTGGACAGTATGACCTCGAGGTGACAACATTTCAGCTGGCTGTTTTGTTTGCTTGGAACCAGAGGCCTAAAGAGAAGATTAGTTTTGAAAATCTTAAACTAGCAACAGAATTACCAGATGCAGAGCTGAGAAGGACTCTTTGGGTATGTTTTGTTGTTTGGGATTCATTCAAGAGATAAAGCAGAACAGCGTGCGCCGGAAGATGCATTTACAAAGTAGCGACTTGGTCACAGCATATCACCGGGTAGATCAGCTTCCATGGGGTGTCCAAAACTATCACATCCAAGAAGCCGACAAAAGGAGGGACAGGGTGCGATGATGGAAGAAACATTTAAGAACACTGAACAAATCTGGGGATGAAATATGCTTCATCCATCATGGTACCCTATCTCTTCCCTTACAGGCTTTTTAAGTATTAACCCCTTCGTGACGGGAGACGTACAGTGTACGTCCCGTCACAAAGTGGCTATATGACTGGCCACGTACACTGTACGTACCGAGTTATATTAGCCTCTGTAATGCTGGTAACTGCTGATTCTCAGCAGTTCCAGTCATTAATGAATGCCTCACTATTGAGACATTCATTAATGAAATAGTTAAGCTTTTGTAAAAGCTTCTTTCTTTCATTAATGAAAGAATGAAGCCTTTACATTCAGATACGGGTTCGCTAAATAGCGATCCTGTATCTGACAGCTGAAGATAGCAGAGAGGTAGCAGAGACTCACCTCTCTGCTATTCGTTTTGACAGCTGTATAGCCTGGCCTGATGTTAAATGATGTTAAATGATTTCAACCACTAGATACAAATGTATCTCTTGAGTGAAATGTATCAGTTTTGATCGTCTAGGACTAAGACCTTTAGTGAGATCTGATTCTGACATGCTGTCAGGATCAGTCTCTAAAGTTATTATTAGCTGTTCCTAAGTTTGGAGCAGCCTGATAATAACTAAAAATTTTAAAAAAGTTAATTTATTAAGCAGTCATAGTGATTGCTTGATATAAACTGACAAAAAAAAATGTTTTTTTATTTTTTTTACAAAGTGTAAAAAAAATAAAGTGTACAAAAAATTAGGAAGATAAAACTTTTATATATAAATATATTTTTATACTATAATTATTATTTAAAAAATTCTAAAAATAATCAAAACTTGCTGCTGTGGAAGAATCACACAGCAAAAATGTAAAAAGTGTGTCAGTCATTTAGGAACAGAAACTAAAAACTAGCTCAGTCATGAAGGGGTTAATGAAAGGGATTTACCTACACTCCTTTTCTTCTACATGGAGCCTGCAGGGATTGGCAGATTGCCTAGGCAAAAGTGAGGCACATCAGACTTGAACATAAATGTATGACCCTCCTTTACTAATATATCTTTATATTTTGTGCTTTGGATTATTGTTGTGCTGGATAAAGGTTTGTGTTATGTGTTAATATTTATTGAATCAATGTTAATTTCTTTGACCTAATTCAGTCTCTTGTAGCGTTTCCAAAATTGAAGAGGCAAGTTCTGTCATATGAACCACAAGTAAATTCTCCTAAAGATTTCACAGAGGGCACCTTGTTTTCAGTAAACCAGGAGTTCAGCTTGATGTAAGTGTGATAAAACGCTTGGCTTGATTTGATTGTTTATGTATATAACATAGGGGTGCTGGAACACCATGAAATAGGTCTGCCTGCGTGTACTCCATAAAAAGTATCAATAGTATACATCTAAATATAGATGATCCTGACAGGATGAGGTTAACTGGAACTTCAACCAAAACTCTTTTGAAGTATACAAAAAAATTAGGAAGTTTTTTTTCTTTATTGCTGCCCTGTGTGTCCCACTTCCTGCCTAGGAAAAGACAAAAGAAAGTGAAGGGATATCCTACATATGACAGATGTCACCTGAACTGGTATTCCCATTTGCCCTGTACTCCGGTTCCAGTGACAACTTTAAAATTGTACACTTCCCTTTATTTTCTGTCTAATGCAAGGCAAAGCAACAGGATTTCTTTAATGGCCCCCTATCCAGCTGCACCTTTTCCTCTTTTGTTCGCCCCCCTCTGGGAGCAATGAAGTCTTTTGTATGTTCTGCGTTCTAGCCAGAGCTTACAAGGGCTCAGGATATTCTTGTCATCCAATGTGATAATACTAGGCTTATCGCCAAGCATGTTCTGTCACATGTGAGGAAGGGTAATACGTCACCTGTCAGGACCATGCAATTTCTTTGCTTCACATGGCTGAACAAAGTGCTGGGGGAGCAAAGGAAAGATGATTATATGCTGCTGGGGAAGGAAGCATGAGCAAACCTGTTCCTTTACTCTGCATGTGTTTTAAGGGAATCTGTCATAAAGGAAAACAGTGGTGCCAGAAGCTGCCGATCCCTGAGCCCTGGATTACATGCTAGTGCTGACTCTGTGATGTCAGTCACTGTGAGCCGCGCTGCTGTGCAGCTAGCATGAGGCACCGGAGTTTTCAAATGGCATCTCCTATGTAAGGCTTCTCACTCAGGTATTTTGTTCCATGGAAGCCTCCCTTTAAATTGATAAATTACAGAAATCAAACCACAGGAATCTAGTTGGAGAATTACTTTACAGAGTTTTTTACATTGTGCAAATATTTTTCCCACTTTCTCCTGAAGAAAAAATGCAAAAGTTCAGAAAAGAGGAAAAATCAATTTAATTGGACGCTTGCAACTCACAACCGAGAGAATGAGGGAGGAAGAAAATGAAGGCATTGTACAGCTCCGAATACTGAGGACTCAGGTATGTACCAGGACATTGCATGCAGTTTATGATGTTTTGTTGTAGATCAGCAGTGTTGTATTTTACATTCTGCCCAATGACTAATTCATGTAACCACAGCACTACATGATTTTGTATTACCTGGTTCAAAGCAGGTGGTTGTTTGAAGAAGTCTATGTAGTTAATTTCTATTTAATACAAGGAGTACAGTAGCTGTATTTGCCCTGATATCAACCTCCTGCAATCCCCTGTACAATAGAGCTCAGACTGGGAGAGGGAGAAGCAGAACATGTACTGCAGTGGTTATGTGCTAACAGATCAACAGAGAGATGAGCTCATCAGTCTACTGCTTCTTCTTTTACTGTCCAGTCACACTCTGAGAGAGGGACAAGACCAGTAAATTTTACTTAGCTGTAGCAGAGAAAAATCAGGTTTCCTGCTCTGCCATACAGGGTTGCACTGTGTGGCTGAGCTGTAGAAATCTCGGGACTGGATGGGCAGAAATACAAATCTTTTGGCAAGTAAAAGAGCTCCCATGTATGCATTTCATCTATATAATTAGCAGTTTGCCTGAAGTTGAGTTTCAAAGCAAGGAAAATGCTCATTGTTCTCTGATATCAGCCTTTCCTTATAATTAGGGATGCACCAATATATCGGCCGCCGAAACATATCGGCCGAAAATGGCACTTTTGGCATAATGCCGAAAGTGCCATTTTCCTGCCGATACATCGGTGCATCCCTGATTTCTTTCCTCCCTGCTGGGCGCTGCTCTGTGTCCCAGCGGGGACACAGGAGAGAAAGTGACGGCCGAGCGCTGAGGTGGAGAGCGCTGTGAGTGGCCGGCGTCTCCTCCCACACCGCTCTGCCGCCTATCTCAGTCCGGCGGAGCGGTGTGTGGGCGGAGACAGCCCGCACTGCCACAGGAGGCTGAGCTCTCCTCCCTTACTTATAATGAAACCTCTCATTCATTTTTCAGGAGGCCATTATTCAGATCATGAAGATGAGGAAGAAAATTACCAACGCTCAGCTCCAGACTGAACTCGTAGAAATTTTGAAAAACATGTTCTTGCCACAGAAAAAAATGATCAAAGAACAAATCGAATGGCTCATAGAACACAAGTACATCCGGAGAGATGAGTCTGATATCAACACTTTCCTCTACATGGCATAATCCAGAGGCCGGCCTGACCAGTGCGGATGAGACGAGCGCTCCGAGCAGGTCACCGGGAATATTTATGCGAAGAAGCGAACTCACTCCAGACTTGTTTTACGGCATAAATATTACAGTCCCTGCCTTATGAGAGGACAGATCTCTGTTGCCAATGTCATTCTGCCAGCATGACAGCATCTCGTCCACTTTGCTTTTACCAGCATGCTGTTTTAATGGAAATCGTTTTGGAAGAACTTGTGAGCTTGTAAAGTAGAATTGTCCAAACCAGAAAATCTCCGAATTTTTGTTTCTCTCTTGTTTTTTTTTTTTTTTTTCTGGTAAAATATTTCACAGTTTCATGCACTGATGAATCGCTGTTACTGTTAGACTTTAAGTGAAAAAAAAAAGAAAATCAAACTACAAAAAGAAAATACTACCACAAAAAATAGCACTTTCACATTTAAGTATTGCATTAATTTAACATATGCTATCGTCCCTTCCTGCACAACTTTTGTGAATCTTTTATGCATATCATAATTTGAAGAGGTTTGTATTCATTTGTGGACATGTTGACTCATAAACAACGCTTTTGATATATTGCTTTTAAATGTGTGATCAATGTAGGGGAGCCTTGGTAGGATACAGTATTGGCACTTTTGTGACGCATTTGACTGTGTAAAAGAAGGCAGTGAAATAATCCATTTTGTACGTAGTGTCCATCACTTCAATTGTTTCAGTAAGTCCATGTGGTCTTTTCAAGTATTCATTGTGCCCTACTGGAAATGCTTACATTTTGCTTCATATGGAGCTGCAGCTATCAACGGTAAACTGTTGAATTGTCACATATATGCAACATTACATTATTTTTACAGGTGCCACATCGCAACAAGAGAAATATCTACATTCCCAGTTGGGCATTGTGGAAACCTGAAGATCCCATGGGCGCTTAAAAGAGAACTATGGGGTAAGTATTTTTCCCCATAGTTTTCTTTAGGGTCACGTGAGGACATATATTAACCTCCTCCTGTGACCCAAAGCTCAGTATATCGTGGGCCATTGCCCGCGCTATACTGTGAGCGCCGCAGCCGGGACGGAGCCCAACGTTACTGTCGAGATCCACCCAGCTGTGTGAGTGACAGCTGGCTCTGCCTATCTAGAGGCAGAGCCAGCTCTGCCCGCCCCGTCCGTTCCACCAGTCAGCGCTGGAGGATCGGAGAGGGGAGGTGGGGAGCGATGACTGACAGTCACCGCTCACTGCAGGGAGACTATTGAGACGTGAGCGGATCGGCGGCATGTTTCTGCTCACTTCCCGATCGATAGAGTCAACCTGTGACAGCTTCTTTGTCACACGTCGGCTCTAACTATGAAGATGAGCGGAAATCACTCACCTCATAGTTCTCCTTTAATGAAACAAAATGG